AATAAAATATATTGTTTAAAAATATATTGTAAATTAATTCTATAATATGGAGAAGTGTGGAATTAACAGGTTTGAAATGAATGTAGAAGAATATATCATAATTCTCCTCCCCTCTCCTTCTTCCCTCCTCCCTTTGTTTTTCATGAAACATCACATGGGAAAGAGGCATTTCTGCATCTGGCTCCTTTCATCCCTGGGAGATTTCACAAAGCTACTAACTACTCCATCACCATACTATTTCTTGCAGTTTACTAATACAACCATACAGTTCTGAGCTCTGCCCAGCCCATAGTGTAAAGTATCCAAAAAAGTTGGAATGACTGCTGAAAAATATTAAACATTTTTAGCTGTAGTTGTTCAGATTCTGGGTGAGTTGTTTATAAACAACCCATCTAGTACTGTCGAGAGGTGGAGCTAAAATCTTTGAAAGATGATAAATTCTGACACAGTGCTCCGTGATTTCACTGCCGCTGAATGTAGGTTAATATGGGATTCAATAGGAAATCTGGCTTGTGTATTGCTACATATTACAGAAACGATGGAACTTGCCATTTGTCTGCAGATTGCTAATTGCAGTTTATTGCACATGCAAAAGGTTAATTTGGATATGTTACCACAGTAATCACATACACTAACTCAGAACAAACCAGACTTCTAATCTGATTGGTAAACTGGTCTGTGGGACTCGGGACAATATTTTGTAAGACAGTGGCAAGTAATAAGGATTTTACAGTAAATGCAATAACAGTATGCAACAGTATGTAGGGGTCTTGTAAGTATGAAACCTTGGTCTTTGATCCTTAATTTAGCTGTTCTCCGAGATGCATTTAATTTGTGGTAATACTTTGAAAGCAGAGATCCTATTTATTCCAAATGAAAATTATATCCTATCCTATTCTTTTTTTTTTTTTTTGATAATGCTTTGTATTTAGAGTACTTTTAAGGGACACAGATTGATTTCTGACCTTTTTGCATTAGATACTGTATATATACACAGAATAAGCTCACTGCCCCAAAGAGCCTACACTTCAGTTAGATAAAGGTTGAAGGAAGGAAGTTTTATTACCTCTCTTTCCCAAGTGGGAAATGGTAACAGAGAGAAACTAAAAGGACTGAGAATTGCACTTCTGCAGTGAGCCCTGTATTTGCCTGCAATACATCCTCCCTTCCTGCTTTTGTTAGGTTGCTGTAAATTGGTAGATAGTTGGTCTTTTCCCCAGAGAGGGACAGTTTACTGTAATTCCGCATATGTTTCAAGGTTTTATGGGATGAAAGGAGTTATAGAGATAGAAAACACTATAGATCTCATTAAGCTATTTTGAAGGAATGTTTCTGCAGAGAAAGTAGATTCCTAGAACTGTGCGTGCGTTGCTGTTTGCTGTATGACCGTGCTGTGCATGGGCTCTGCGTTCCCAGGAGCCCTGCGCTCTGAGTGCATGCATGCTTTAAGATACGTCAGTATAACTTTTTATTGTTATTATTATTCCCCGTAGTTTGTTTTTAAATGTTTTCTAGAATAGTAAAAAAAGCAATAGCCATCAAGATGGGGGACCATTCCCCAGGATTCATGGGAGGCTGGAAGCACCAGCCTACCCGTAGTCTCCCAGAAATGCATCTCCCTCCCTCTCCCCAAGAAGCATCAAGCTGATTCTATAGAGAGGGCTGAAGTGCATTTTTAACAGTTTTAATTAGAGTTTCTAGGCTAACATTAAAAAAATGAGATCCATACAGAATCTCGCTTTGAGAGCGGTATTTTCCCTGTAGAGGAACATGAGCCTGAAGATAACTTGTTTCCCTTTTCCTCATTAGCCAGTACATGGATGTTCAGTGGTATGGCATTTATCTCCTCATCCTGGATCAAAACGCAGTCAGAGTGTAGGTAAGTGGTGGGGGAGAGAAGGAAGGTGATGCTATAAGACAGGGACAGGAAAAAAAAAAAAAAAAGGTAACAAAGAACTGGTAAAATCCAAGCATATCCCAACCATTGTCCTCCTATCTTTTTGCATTCCAGGTTCATGCCTTGTTGAACTTCTCCACCAACAGTGGAGATAGTGAGTGATCTTTTCCTCATGCATACAGTCCCCTTCAGCTCTGTCCTGCCCTGCCCCTAGCTAGGAAATGGGTACAGTTATTTTCCACTCCCCCATTTTGGAGTCCTTGAGTGAAGATGACTGCAAAGAAGCAGATTTTTTTTTGTTTTCCTTTTATTGTATTTAATAAGAACACAACATTATTTTTGTTGCTGTCAAAGATTGTGTCCATCTGTGGGTTTTTTTTTCGGTTTTAAAAAAGATGTGCAATGCTTAAAATGGCTTAAGAGCCATAATGATCTTTGAGTCCTTGTTAAGTAGTCTCTGTTTATCCTCTATGGAAACCATCACCTCTGTCTACGGAAGCATAGACTTATAAAATAAGTTATCCTTTAAGTATGAAACTGCAGAATTTCCTTAATGAACCTGCTGATGGGACAGCAAAGCGCATCATCAGTGTAAGATAGAAAACAATCCACTGGAGCTTTGTTACAGAACAAGCTAACATCCAGAGGAAGTGACAGTAATTTGCAATAAACACTCTGTGTAAACAATTACCTGTGACTTGTTACACTTGTTTGTACAGGCAGCTGGCTGAACAGACCCGCATGCACTTGTAAATGTCTGTCTCCATCACACCTGATACTGGGAAACAATTAACTTGGTAGTTGATTTCTCTGAAGTAAGAAAAAGTCAGTGCTCTGTACATGACAGCTGGCAAAGACAAATATGGGTGTTTACAAAAATATGAAGAGAAGCTGAAGAATTAAGTCATTCGTGATGGCATTTATTTATGAATGGTAAGGACACTTTGGTGAATGGACAGTGTGACGGTGACAACCCTGGAACAGGCTGGCCAGAGAGATTGTGTAGTCTCCTTCTCTGGAGATCTTCAAAACCTGCCTGGAAGCCACTCTGTGCCACATGCTCTAGGTGTCCCTGCTTGAGCAGGGCACGTTGGGCTAGATGATCTCTAGAGGTCCCTTCCAACCATAAGCATTCTGTGATTCTGTGACATTAAAGGGAAAGTTAAGATTTTTGCCATAGTGTGCTTGGTGAAAAAGCAGTTTAGATGACTGGCTGAGGGGCACTTTGGGGCCAGAGAAAGGGGTGCTGTGCAGACTACCAAAGCCAGCACATGCGATATTTTGACTGAGCCGAATGACTGTTAAGATGTTGGTAAAAATATACTAGTTGTCTGCCGAGTGTTCTTCCTATTCTGCCTTGTGTGAAGCAGATCGGCTGGAGCTGCGCAGGAAGCGCCGGAGCGCAGTGTGTGCCAGTCGCGCTGCAGCCTGTAAGGGAAAGGTGCCACTTTTGTTTGATCCCGGAGCCCGCCCCGCCGTCAGAAGGCTGGCCGGGGAGGAAGGCCTGGCTGGAGGCCCTGCGCAGCCTGAGCCCCGCAGCACTTGGGCAATCCCCATGACCTCCGGCCTGCTCGGCTGGAGCTGCGCAGGAAGCGCCGGAGCGCAGTGTGTGCCAGTCGCGCTGCAGCCTGTAAGGGAAAGGTGCCACTTTTGTTTGATCCCGGAGCCCGCCCCGCCGTCAGAAGGCTGGCCGGGGAGGAAGGCCTGGCTGGAGGCCCTGCGCAGCCTGAGCCCCGCAGCACTTGGGCAATCCCCATGACCTCCGGCCTGCTGCACGCGGCGCGTGGGAACGCTGCGGAGGGCCCCGGCGCCGCCTA